ATTATCTCTCCCCCATGCATTTTCCGTCCTCATAATTCCCTCGCAAGCTACTTATTATCTCGCGTTAATTCTTTATTTAAAAAATTCATAAAGGTGAGAGCGCGACTATTTTTTTTTCTTCAAAAATTTTTTTTAATTATATCCACATTTATCGCTGTCTAGAGGATTCCGTCTTGCGTTTATTGCATGTCCTCTTATTCTATTTTTCATCGATTTCCAATACGCTGGTTATCACGGAGCAGAGATAAAAATCCGTCGTTGGAAATTATGTTACGAGAGAGAATCGTGGTACTCGAGGAAGAACTCGTAAGTTCATTAGTCGCCGTTTAACGATCACCATAATACCAGAGATCTGAAAAGAAGCCGGTAGGAAGAATGGATCCGAGCTTATTTCAAATGTGCTATGAAAACGAGGAGAGGCATCGTTTCATCGACCTCGAACAACGAGGATCGCCGCATTGTCGTGGCAAATGGCAAAGAATAATCCACCATTACGAAAGAAAAGGTGGCGCATCTCTATACGCTTAGATGTTTGGGGTTAAATCACGAAAGCGATATCGATCCAACGAGGCGGCAGATATCTTAATTATGCGATTGCGTGTCACGGAACACCCATGTGGAAAATTCGTCGCGTCGAAAAGCAGCAATTTCCTTCGCGCGAGAGAATGGGAAGAATTAATTTTAAATTGCATCGCGCCCGATTACACGGTTGAATTAATCAAATCCGGATGCGCATCGATCGGCGCGAGCAAAAAAAGGCAGCTCGCAGTGAAAAATATACGAAAATAGCCAGACGCGTCTACACGCGTGTTTGCCGTATAACTGATGCTGGTAGCGTACTTGAAAATACCACGTGGCTCTCGGTCGCGCACCGATCGTACACGGTTCACAATATCCTTTCGGCAAGTAATCGGAAGCGATTAATCTTTCCCGTCTTCGTACAAGCTGCTCCACTTTTTGTCGTCAGCTCAGCTTTCCTCCTGGGCTAAATTCGAGACTCTCATAATTCGATATGTCTGGAAGCTCAGCGATTTTCCGAGTGTGAGCGCGCCGTGTCGTAAATCGCGACACGATTCTCCGGGTTCAACGAACGAGAAATTATGTTAAAGAAAAAAATACCGCTGTTTTTTCATGGCTGTTTACCTTCCATTGCGAGGAAAAGAGGATAATGCTGTATTACGTGGCTTGCACAGACTAACGTTAAATATATATATAACGCGAAAGTATAATGGGAACGAACATGGATAACATATCGCGTGTATTGCAGTGTAGTGCCGCCGTCGGGATGAAGGCGTTCTTCGACATGATGCACAATGGGCCGCACAAGGTGATACTCTTTGGTGGTGCTTGCACACAAGTCACGGATCCGATAGCGAAAGCCTCGAAACACTGGCGCCTTACGCAGGTAATGCGACGGTAAAACGTCGTGGTAAATATTCATGGCTTGCGGGAGACTGTCCTCCTTCTTGCTCTTCTGCTTATTTGCATACTCACACACAGACACGCCACGCACAGGGGGGAAAGAAAAAGAACAGAAACAAACACGAGGCTCGTAGGAGAGATGCGGTTGTATGCCAATATTCGTTCTGCTTTTACTGTTGCAGCTCAGCTACGCGGACACCCATCCTATGTTTACAACCAATAGCTTCCCGAATTTCTTTAGGGTCGTGCCGTCGGAAAATGCCCTCAACGCACCGCGAGTGGCGTTGCTCCTGCACTTCAACTGGACCCGGGTCGGCACGATTTATCAGAACGAGCCCAGATATGCACTGGTAAAGTCAATCTTAATGCATCGAGAGAGTATTTATTCAGTAATAAAGCCGAATATAAAAAAAAGAAAGAGAAGAAAGCAATTCATAAAATTTAAAACAATTTTCTATACCATGGTCTATTCAAAGTCCTTTGTTGCAAATGTAAAAGTTAAAATTGGTAATTTTTATTCCGTCCGTACGGCAAATACACACTTTCTATACAATATAAAAGCACGGTGTATTATAAGAAAAAAACGGGAAATCTTTTGAAAAAAGGTCAAGTTTTTCTTATATATTTTCCACGCGTTGGATACCATTAGGAAAGTGATTCAAACAGTGGTTCTCGACAGTTGAAAGCAATTGGAGAAATGAAAGGGTTAATTAATCCCGTCGCGAGAGCGCGTCGTTTTCCACGCGCGCTCGCGGGCGTGGGTGATGTATATGCAGCAACTGTTCCATTTACATTATAAATGGAGATTTGCCGTCGCTAGCGGCCTGCTTGAACAAGCTAAATGCGCGAATGCGCTCGCGTTATGGCACGTGATAAGCATTCGGATTGAAAGCGGCAGTTCTCTCGCCCTCTCTCAAGGCGCGCATCTACCCTGTGAATCGCGTTTCCAGGTGCATAATCGGTTGGTGGCCGATCTAGACGAGAGCAAAATAGAGCTCGTGGAGACGCAGAGCTTTGCCACAGAGGTGAGAACGGCGCTCGAGAAGCTCAAGGAAAGGGACGTGAGGATTCTCCTGGGAAATTTCAACGAGGTGTGGGCCAGGAAGATATTCTGCGAGGCTTACAGGTTCGGCTTATACGGCAGAAAGTATCAGTGGGTCATCATCGGGACTTACACCAGGGAGTGGTGGTTGAGCACGAACAGCGAGTGTGACCCTGCCGAGCTGTCCAAGGCTCTTCAAGGTGTCATCCTGACGGATCTGCTTCCGCTAACGACCGAGGAGCAGCACACCACATCCGGAATCGTGAGTGTACCGAACTGAAACTGTATACTGTTGGTTTTCGATTAAATCCGCGCGGATAGTTCCGGGAAGTCGAATCTCGTTCAAGAAGTTCAAGTTGGAAATTACTTAGTATAGCCTCTAAATTAGAATTGATCGAAAGGTCGCGTTTCCCCGTTACATAAATGTAATTTAATCGTATCCGAGGTTTTCTTTTCTCGGTAGAAAAGCGACGAAATGTTATTTCTTCCATTCCACGTGAATAGCTGAATACGATTCTGAAAGGATTACGGAAGAATCGCGATCCAGATTGGCTGAAGAATCCGTAGATGGAGTAGAATAGTGCTTCGAGTATCGTATCTGTGCATATTTGCTCGAATGCATTTCTGATCGAATATCGGGTCTCCAAAAATTGCGTTTAATCGCGCCTCGGAGCGATCGCGAGCGGTTCAAATGGAAACGACGTATATACGATGCGACTCTTTGAGATTCGTCATACGCGAGGGCACACGCCTGTTGCGTCTCCATGCATTCGGTTTGATGCGTTTCACCCCCAGACCCCGGACCAGTACGAGGAGGAGTACAATTCGAGACGGGGCGGCGAATACTCCAGGTTCCACGGATACACGTACGACGGCATCTGGACGGTCGCGCTGGCTGTAAAACACGTCGCGCGCAGGATACGACACATCCATCGTAACCAAACTATATCCGACTTTCGGTACAGGGATGCATTGTGGGAGAGGCTCTTCCTCGAGGCCCTCAGGAATACAAGCTTCGACGGTGTCACGGTAAGCTTGGCCCGTCTCGCAATTTCGCCCCGCAACGACGCCTCTTTGTCCCTTGTGCGCCGAACACAAACCGGATAATGTCATTCGACATAAAATCCTCAGTGCTAAAAACGAACGCCGTTATAAAGAGCGGTAGTTTTCTGCGAAGATCATCTTGGATAAACAAGTTTAGATTACATTTTCCGCTCCTACTTATCGGTGATAAATGGTTTGAAACAGTCTTTAAAAAGGTTTTGCAATTCTAATCCGTGTATTTACTTAATGTTTTATTTTTGTTGTACTTAAATGATAAACAGAAAATTCGCGGGAAAAGGAAACGGTGTTATACCAAGTATTCTCTTTCAGAAAATTATGATCTTACAGTACTTTTCGTTGACGCCATCAGTTGCTAACGAGTTTCTGAAAGGTATCTAAAAAGTTAGGTAACTACAAGACTTTTTAATGTTTCGTAAATTTCTCTAATATCTTTCTTGATATCAAACTTTTGAGTTCAAAGAACACACTCTAAAAATATACTACAAATATTTAATTTTTCATTTTTAAGTATTTCGTTTTGCTTTTCTTAAAATATTGTATATCGCTTGTTATATTTAATTTACCATGAAAATTGATAAGAATAATGAAATTTTAATTTTTTATAGCAATTCTATCCACGTGATTACTTTTGATTAGAATAAAGTGTGTGCATTTATATGATATATTTTTTAAAATAATAGTTTCAATAAATTTTTAAAACGTTTTAAAAGTTGTGACATTTTGTGTGTTTCGTGGAAGAAAAAGAATTTTGCTGAGATTATCACCTTTCGCTCTAGTCCTTCTAACGATAATTTCCGTAGCTCAAAGAAAAATATTTCCCTTTCCGCGCTCGATTGATTCGCGTCTACTTATCTGACTCCAATTCGCCAAGTTGTTATTTGTGTCGAGGAGGGCATTGAGATATCCATTGTTACCGTGAGACTGCCTCCGGGTATTGCGGAGCCGGGAGGAACTCACTTAAAAAGACGAGGGAGAGTAAAGGAGAAGACGTTTATAAAGAAAGGCGAAGATTGGAGAGCGGAATCTTTATACGTTCTCTCATTAGACGAGCGACAACCCTTGCTTTCGATCGTCGAGCGCGTGAGCTTGACGACGACGACGACGACGACGACGACGAGTTGCTCGGCACTTTGTACCTGTCGTGGACAGAGAGACGCGGAGGAACACAGGGGCCGCGTTTTTCAGTAATCAACATTTGTACTGGGCGCGCGTGTTACACTTGACCGTCTCTTTGCCCGACTCCGAGTGTCTTCAAGCGCAGGCATCACTTTTCTACGCGTGCCTAACCGCACGAGCTAACCGAGGCGAAATTAATGAGTTGAACTTTTTTTCCCTTCCTTTTTCATCTTTTTTTCCTTTTTATTTCTCTTTTCTTTCATTCGGATATATACCCGTGACGCAGTGCTTTGCAACGCCACAGTTGAGCGCGTTTTAGCAAAAAGGGATGCATACGTGTATGTACGGTAGCAATAACAGAGCGGGAGAATGGGACCGATCGGCGGTGAACCGAATTGAAATTAAAACGAAATCAAAAACATGACAAACCGCCAGGCGAGTTAGCGAGGCAAATTGGCATGAGTTGATAGCGAGTTGAATCGGTGAGCGGGCTTTTATTTTAAAATCCCGAAATCCGATTCACGATCCCGATCGCCTGTGGTAACCGTCCTGTATAATAACGCGACAAGGATGTGAGAAATATAAAATTTTGCAGGGACCGGTCCGCTTCTATGACAATGAGAGGAAAGCGTACATTCTTCTAAAACAATTCCTGGGTAAGTTATTTCTTGATATTGGCGCGCGCGCGCGCGCGAGCGCGCGAGAGAGAGAATTTTGTATTTAGAATTAAACAGATAGATCAAAGTACCTATTTCGAAATAAATTTCAGAGTACTGGCTTGTAGTACAGCAACTAATAAAGGAATTCAATTAAAAACTATATCGTGCGGAACGCGCAGATTGCAACTTTAATTTAACAAAAGAATTTTTAAATTGCACTAATGAATAAAATATATTTGCGCCAGTTTTAGTTAGTTATTATTTTGTTTTTTACTCGATATTGAAAATCGGTTATGTCACATCAGTGGTGTAATTTACGGATCAGTGCGTGTATTTCTCGCGGCCGATCCGATTTAATAACAATAGAGATACGGATAACGGATGTTAAAAATTGGTCGGTTCGAAATAAGTGCTTAACGCAAGATAGGAATATTGTCTTATCGGCGTGCGCGTTCTCGGTTGAATGTGAACTCATCCTTTTAGACGGTCGCGAGGTAAACATAGGCGAATATGATAGCATAACTGGCATTCTGGATCTGACCAGAAGAGAGGCCTCGTTGTGGAACGGCAAACCGCCGCCGAAAGACAGGACGGTTCGCATCATCGAGCACTCCACCGTGGATATCACGCTGTACGCGGTGCTAGCCTCGGCTGCTAGTGTCGGTATCGTCTTGGCATCCATTTTTCTCGCCATCAATATCAGATACAGAAATCAAAGGTGACGGCTCCGCCGTAATACGTAACAATTATAGAACCACGCGCGTAACACGGTTCCTCCATTTGGCTCTCAGCTTACTTTCCCAGCCCCGGGGAGCGAACGTGCGCGGCTCACACGCGAAACTCAATATTGCAGATACATCAAAATGTCATCGCCCCACCTGAACAACCTCATCATCATTGGTTGCATGCTGACCTACAGCAGCGTTATCTTCCTCGGACTCGACTCACAATTATCGAGCGTGGCGGCGTTTCCGTATATCTGTACGGCCCGAGCGTGGCTGTTGATGGCTGGTTTCTCGTTGGCCTTCGGCTCCATGTTCTCGAAGACGTGGCGTGTACATTCCATATTCACCGACGTGAA